TAAATTACTGTACACATGCATAATAATTTCTACTTAAATTTAAAACGAAATTTAAAAACCCTAATTCTAAAGCCAATTCAAGTTTGGCAGAAACAAAACTTTAAACTGATCTACTATACACAAACTAATCAATGTCAGATAGGATCAGTGGCGGATCCAAGATTTTAACATAGGATGGTCCCAATATAAAAGCTCCAAATAAACAAATACAAGTGCTAATTGCCTAGTCTTTAAGACTATAAAAATCTATATGCCTCTATCCATTTGAACTGTAGAACAATTAAAATTCGAGTAAAAATTGCATTTAGGCTGAAAGCATGCTATTCATATGCAGCATCACTGATGCAGCTTCAGTAGGTGTAGCATCACTGATACAGCTTCATTGATGCACCATCAGTAGGTGCAGCATCAGTAGATGTAGCATCACAACAGTATGGCAAAATTATTTAATGGATAGAGTCAAAGAAAGTACAAACTACAAACCTCTTTGACCAAGAGGAAGAGGATCAGCGGCTAGCCTCTAGCGTCAAGACCAAAGGTTTACACGGAGAAAAAATGCAGATTTTCACCAGAGATGTCGTCGAGTCATCACCCGGCCCATCGGTGCAATAGTGAACAGAAACTAAAGTGCAGCAGAGAGTTGATCGATGCCGTAAGGAATAGAAGCGGGCCGAGCGGCAGACGATTAGTTATTATTGCTAAACTAAAGGTTCTGAATGTTGAAGGAGTTGATTGCTCTATCGTGCGAGGGTTCTCATGTGACTCGTGAGTGAGGTTTTAAATTTTTTTAATGATTGGCTCAAAACGAAGTCGTTTTGGACAAGTCATTTTGAAAAAAAATTGGCTTTCTTCTTTCTCCTCCTGAAATGCACAGCCTAATTGAGTTAATCTATTCAATTATTTAAAAACTCAAATAGGAATTAAAGCCTATTTCGATGGTGCTCCATTCTGCTCGACGTCATAGCACCACCGGTTGTAACCTCCTTCCAACGTCGTCTCCATCAACTTCATAAACTCTTCGTTCGTATCATCATGAAGAGTAGACTTACACTATTACATATATATGCAAATAATTAATTCCAACATATAACAAAAAAAATTCACAAAATTAATTATTGATCCATCAACAGCATAATTACTAATAATTCATCCATCACCACCTTCTTGACACTGTCGGGCACATATTTCCAAGAACACCACTCAGCAGTAGGACAATTATTCCCCATGGCTACAACAATCGCATGCGCGAACTCCACATGTTGTCTCAAATCATATGGGTTGGCGGGCACGCTCTCGTCCTAGTTTTTTTCCCCCATCACAGCACGAACATAACTATGAAGAATAATGATAGTACAATGGCATATATATAGGAAGGTTAGGGACTTTGCACGACAAATGCTTTGTCGCGCAAACATCTATGCTAAATACAGTATTGATTCCTCTGATTCACATGCACTTAATTGTCGGGAAAAAATGACAGTGACTTGCGTGACGAATCCTTCGTCACGGAAAGATTCACCCTTCGTCGCACATGTTTTTTGCACCAAAAAATTGCTCGTGATTTTTCTTACTGACATTGCGTGAAAAGTGTATTGTTTTCGTTGGGCAAAGTTTGTGCGACAAAGTTATGCGTCGCGCAAAGCTGACCTTTCTTGTGCCACTAATATCCTCTTCCATTGCGCAAAACTATCTTGCACGATGATTTTTTCGTTGTCGCGCAAGTAGTTTTTTCTACTAGTGAAGTATATTGATGTGGCCATCTCCATCTAACTGCTTACATATTTTGTAGTAAACTTTTCTCTCCGTTGTATGTCTCTACAGGTTTTTTATCTACATGCAATTGGCTTGCGACAAGCCTTTTCAACACCAGTCTTTAGAGGGAACTTAACCTCAAGGTAATAACCATGCTGAAAAATGCTTGGACTCGGAACTAAACCACGTCGTAGCTTTCTTTGTAGCATATTAGATCTTGGTATACCTACTTTTTCATGCGAAGGTTAATGGACTGTCACTTATTTGCTTATTTGAAATCTAATCTATTGTGTAAATAACCTGGTAAATTGGTATGGTGATATGGATAATCATGACAGTGCTCTTGTATTTTGCAATCCTCGTTATGTTGGAACATTAAAGAATGGAGGGACGTTGAATCAAGAGACCAATCATAACACAAAATGTGTCAACATCAGAATAAAACTCGTAGAGTACTATATCAACCGCAAAAGGGAACCGAAGACTTTCCTCGACTATAAAAGACGACCGTTCTCCTACAATTAATTCCTAATGCCATTATTGTATTTAAACTTGTCATTAGAACTCACTCATAATGATTGTGCTTTGTGAAGTCTAGTTTTATTGTTTGGCTTCCCTTGTTAAATGTAATCAATTGTACCACACATATCTCGTTATATTTAGGGTTGAATTGCAACTTTTGGGATCATGCTGCTGGAAATATCACTTCAAGAGCTTAACTTCTCTCATCAAAGGTTTGTTCATTCATATGTATTTCATGTCATTATTTCCAGTTCATTTTGTCTAGTGGTTCTGTGTTGTTAAAACTTCTCGTTGCTATCACGCGAGCTGGGCACATACTTTAAGACAACCCACATGAGCCATATGACTACTTTTTATTGAAAAAGGTTTTTCAGCCTTAGATTTTTCCAGTTTGCTTGTACACATGACACGTGGTTTTTTTTGTCCTCCGTCTTGTCTAAAACAAAGCCCACTATAAAAAATTAATCTAGGGTTCTTTTCAACTTGGCTAGGAGATTTATATTTTTCTGATTATCCAGATCATTGCATATTAGGGTAGGCATTGTTTTCGTGATTTTGATCTTTGTTTTAGGTCAAGCTTTTCTAGTTTCAAATCTTTGAGCTGACTACTTTTTGGATTCACGTTAGTTTCATCTTTCAAGGGTTTGACTGGTGAAACTGACTAGCCATCAACTTAATCATAACATCATTTGCATAAGTTGATTTGATTTTGGTGCCATAAGATGAAGAGCTCAGGAGGAGCTACCACTTCCTGAAGACCGAAGGAATCCAACTCGTGAAAAGGAAGGTTGCACAAGGGTACAAGTTGCTCCATAGATTAGGAACTAGGAATTGAGCTTGTGTGGTTACATTATAAGAATCTTGATTTCACTAGTGGATTGGACTCAGTGGAAAGTCTCCAGTTTTTAACCCTAGAGTGAAATTTTTCCAGCCAAAAACATCATGTGTGTATTATTGCTTTCCTTGGATTTATTTCTTACATCTTGTATATGATAGATGATCATCTTGACTTGCATATAGACTTGTCCATGCATCTAAGCTAATCAAGGTTTGCATTTATAATAGACTGGACCTCAGTTAACTAGGGACATTTCTGTAAACCTAGTTTTTAAATTGATTATTTCCGTTGCTGGTTAATTGACAAACGTGATCTTAGTTGACTAGTGTTGATGACTAGCAAGTCAAGCATATATAGAATTTTAATTACATGATATTTCACTTGGAACCGATTTCATGCTTGAACATGTGTATTGTGTAAACTCTTCACTATTAATAAGAACTCATCTACCCTCTATATCTTTACATATTATCCTCACTAGGTGACGGGAGTAACTTTGCGAAGGTGACAAACTTGACACTTTACGTCATTCCATAGTCTCACTTATTTTGAGCATCAACATTATTTGTAAATAGTCTCTTACAAGCAATTGAACCCGCGTGATGCCATCAGTTTTAAAACTGTGTGAAAAAGGTGGAATATATTAAAATCTATTAGCATCCTTATGTTCAACAAAGAATTAAAAATAGGTGTTTATAATACATAGCAAAAGTTTTAAAAATCTTTAATTATTCTTTCTAAGTAAATTTGACAAATATGTACAATACAATCTTCGACCAATTCAAGTGTACACTTTTTCTTTTCTTCTATCAAAATTGTCATGTAACCCAAAGTCATATGCAAAGCTAGCTAACTGAAAACATTTGTGTTCAGTTGTGTAAAAAGTTGAGTACGCTTTAATTGAAAAAATAATCATTAATACAATTAGGCAAGAAGGGAAAGATGATTCTCCTGAGGAGTTAGAAATATTTTGATTTCAACAAGAAGATATTGACAAGGTTTTACATACGTACCTGCAAGCTCAAAGCTGTAGTATTATCTCCAAAAAAATAATAAATAAATAAAATAAAATTCTTCCATCTTAAAATTTTATTTGTGGCGTAGCTTATTATTGTCCTTATTAACAAAGAAAAACTAATAAAAATAGCTTGAAAACTTTGAGCTTTAACGATAACGACAAAATAAAAGATAAAGTGAATAGTACCAAGATTGACTTTTTAGTGTAAAATTGTGGTTTTTTTATTAAAGTGAACAGTACCAGGAGTTTTTCGTTAAAGTTCCCTATTAACAATTACTACTATGTCGAACTGAGTTTCCTTACAACAGGACCTATTAAAATGATAACTTATTACAGTGTGAAATTTATTCCTAAACCCAAACAGACCAAAACTTTTTACGACTACAAATAAGTTATTCGTTTATAGAGAGAGATTTTATTGTAGCATTCACAACACTTATAGCTTTTTATTGAATTATTGAATCTCAAAGAATGTTTACATTATTGCAAGGAAATACAAATGCATAAGGAATTGAAATATAAATACATAAAAAAAAATTATCCACTTAAATGTTTATAATGAATTGTAGCTTTCTTTGAATTTATTCTTCTTAAGCAAATTTTTGAACCAATGTGTTAAGAGTTTTAGGTATCTTTTCAGCCCATCTTTATAATCCACGTAGTTTAAACCAAATTGGACAGTGTATCCAGAAGTCCATTCAAAGTTGTCTAACAATGTCCATGCAAAGTATCCCTTCACTTTCGCGCCATTTCTGCACACACACACACACAAATGTACAAATGGGTTAGGTCAATATAATGATTAAATAACCATAACATAAGAAGGCTAGGCAGTATATTGCCTTAATCATTTTGTTAATAACTACTTACTTGATCGCCGCTTAAAGGTAACACAGGTGACAATAGTAGTAGTCAATTCTACTGGTATCATGAAGGGCCTCTTCAAGTGATAGTTCTGGATTATTCAACTCTGATACACCTATGTACATATTATTACACAAAAAAATTAAATTTAGTTTCTTCCTCTAAAACTAAAAGAAAACGTGTAGTTTCATTTACACCACTATAAATATGTGAAACTTTTGCAATTAATCAAGGCTTAAAAGTTTGTATTACATACCATTCTCAGTAATATAAATGAGTGGATCATTATATTTTTCCTTTGTGTAAAGCACAAGATCATGAATTCCTTTTGGATATACATATAACCAATCTGAAGCAGCCTGCAACACCATTTGAAGATAATACGTAAATGTTGGGGAAAAAAAAAAACTGCTCCTCCAAATGCAAATAGCTCAAAATGATAAATTTGATATTTACCTGTGGACCAATGAGTACTCCATTAAGCTCAGCTGCCACAATATTTACAAACCTTAGAATACAATTGGTGCAAATACTAGAATATAATTAAAGTAATTAAGAAGTTAAACTAGGCAAAGAAGTACAAAGAACATAAGCTATTCAAACTAAGTTTCCATTTGCACTCACTGATAAGATCAGCTCGAGAATCTGTTACGTAGCTTGCCGGTAGTGAATTGTTCTTGGGTGCACTACTTGTGTATCTAGCAGTATAACAATTTATTCCAAGAAAATCAAATAATCCGTTTAGCAACTTGGATTGTTCTTTTGTGAATTTGGGCAATCTTTTCCCAACAATTGGTCGCATGGTGTGTGGATAGTCACCACTTGTTAATGGGTCCAAAAACCTGCAAAACATGACAATTCCGGATATTAGCCTAATTATATTATTATATATAAAGAGTACTGCTAGCTAGGTAGTATCAATGTTTCAATTCATAAGTAAACATGTAATTGGGTTGATATATAATTTAATAAGACACTTGCCATGCAAACATAAAATCCAAAGATCGTAAGGCAGCATCTTTATCTTGCTTTGAATCCGAAGCAGACTCAAATCAGTTTGACACCAATGTTATCCCTATCAAGCCTTTTTGAGTTGCCTACACAAAAATATGAATTTTTGTTGAACAAGTAGGAGCTATGGAAAAAGATACAACCTTTAGATTATCTCACTACAGAGAGTATTCCCTCTTGTATTACAACTCAATAATAATGATTCATATAGAATTCTCAATTAGGAGCCAGTAATCTGACCCAAAAAAAAAAGAACAAAAGTTATTGAACCTGATATTTATTCTTGTACAATTCTACAGCTGCTCCATGAGCAAGAAGAAGGTGGTGTGCCACCAAGTATGGTTCAATGGCTGAATCTCCACCGATGCAGTTTAGGTTTTGCCAAGAAGAGCAGCGTCCCGGTACTTGAGTCCCAACAGCATAACCCATGTAACTAAAAGTATATGGCTCATTTTCCGTGAACCAGTGCTTGACTCGATCACCAAATTCCTTATAACAAAGTTCCGCATAGTCTTTAAAATGATCGCTGTAGATACACATTTATGTTACGAATATCAGTATGCATTTTATCAAATTATCACTGAGAGAATAAATTTTGTTCACTTACACAATACGAGGGCTTAAGAAACCACCATATTCATCTTCTAAAGCTTGGGGAACATCCCCATGAAAGAGTGTCACAAATGGCTTTAATCCTATATATACATGATCAGTAAAATCAAATTAAAAGTCTGATTGAATGGTGTTCTAAAAATTCATGTAATTATTGTTTAAGGTAGGATGATTAACACTAGTAAAAAAAACACTTTGAGCGACGTACGTATATTCGTCGTGCAAAGTCAAAAATCGTTGCGCAAGGGTTTGCGCGATACAACCTTCGTCGCGCGCTAACCGTCGCGCCAAGGCAGTGACGCTAGGGTTTGCGCGACGAAGAAATAATATGCGTCGCGCAAAGACACTTTGCGCGACGCACATCCTAGGGCGTGCGTCGCGCAAACTCTTTTTTTTTATTTAGTGAAAAATATTCATTTTTTTAAATTTTTCTGAAAAATACTTTTTTTTTAAATTTTTGATAAATATTGTAATTAAATTCTAAAGAATAATTAATTAACCAAGCAAAAGTATTTAATTATAAAATATATGAAAATGTACATACAAGATGTCCGAACAAAAAGAAAAAAAAAACTACAAGTGAACTAGGTTTAATACATCAAGTTACTGGGTATCGACAAGGCGAGGTGGCTCTGAGGTCGAAGGTGGGGCAAGATAAGATGCTGGTAGCGAGATTTGGAGGCCGGACATCTGTATGGCTTGTACAAGTTCTTGCACCCTCCCGCTAAAAAGGACAATTATCTCGAATAACAGCACCACAGCTACTAGCAACGTCGTTATGCTGCTGTGAGGTAGCCGCTCCACAATGTCACGGGTCATACGCAATCTTGATCTTGGAGTTGGTCTAACGTACGCCCTGTAACTCCTTCAGCATTCGACTAGGCCCCCTGGTGTTTTTTTTAGCTGGCCAAAAATACTTAAATTGTGAAAACCCTAAGCTTAAATTTGTACAAAAAATTCGACTCTGGATGCCGAGGAAGTCTAATTAGAAGGCTCCGGGTCGCGACGACGTTGGTGAGGCCGCCGTGCACTGAGCGACTCAACGGACACTGATGACATCAATGAGACGGGCACCTGAGACATCGTAGAATTAGCCTCAGCAAGGGGTGTAGGCTCCCTAATCAATGGAGCACTCACAGGTGGAGCAGTAGATGTTGATAATGCGGGAGGCACATTGGTCACACTCCAACGACGAGTGATCAACTGCGACATCTATACACTTTTTGAACCATAAAAATATAACATTAGAAACTATTCATTTCTTGAAAAAGAAATAGCATGAATATAAAAATAATAATAAAATAAAACTAACATGAGGAAATTAAAGTTACTTTTGCATATCCATGAGCCATTACAAAGAAATAATTGCAGCATTATGAAGTAATTGCTTTTGCTAAATTTGATCATTTACCCTTTAAGGAAAAACAAGTTAAATTTGCTATTTGCAAGCTAAATCCTTCATCTCCCACTCACGGAATTAATGATAGAATAAGCTTATGTACTCTTGGAAGAGAAAGTGAAATGAAAGACCTCTGTGTTTTTCTTTTTCCTAACATGAATTGCCAACAGACAACGACATAAACCATGAACAAATTATTCAACTTACAACCTAATATTCTACAGCTGGCCAATCACTCTTACCATACTATCCTTCCATCTGCAAGCATTTACATCTCCAATCACTCTTATAATCACATCAGCTAGGGTTTTGAAACAATAAAAGTGAATATATTCTTGCGCCATGAAGTAAAGACACATGAAAACCAAATGTACAGAAACACATGTTGGACTTCATTACTCTTATCATCCCTACCAATATCAGATCACTATCCAATGCTCAATTCACATCCAAATGTCCAATTTCCTCAAACAAAAAAATATATGATTTAAGCAAATAACCTCCAAACAAGATTCACTTTAATCAATATCGAATTTCCTCAATCACCTAAACCTTCCTTCCTCCCTAGTCCAGCAAATATTTGTTAATTAAATATCTTTTGCAGTTTTCGGTTGAAGGTTTTTCGTTTTTTAGCCAGTAACAGATTAAGATTTACTATCGCTGATTTACGGTTTATCACTTTGAAGTTCAAGTATGAGAGCTACATCAAATCATCTAAAAAGCTTTACAAAAACTGTGTAAAATGCAAAGAAACCCATGCTCCTGAATTCATACTTTTTACATAGTAAAATGCCAGAGTCTAGAGTCTCAAACCTTTAAGCAGAAGACTGTTCCGACTTGGAATTGCTAACGAAGCAATCTGTTGAATCATTTGGACGAGGAAAGTGTTGGTAAATTGATCGAGAAACTACCATTTGAAAGAAAAATTACCATGTTGATTCAAAACTTACCCAATTAGTTAACATGTTGATTCAAAACCCACATATATAATCAACATAAGCAGACATGTATCGCTAAGCGGAAGCTGAATTAAAAAGGAAACAACTAGAGTAAAATTCCAAGAGGTATTTGGAACAAGAAGCGGAGATTGAAAATAGATATGCCACTAGGTCACCCAACAAAAAAATACGAACCACATAGAATCCTAATACATTATTATAACTACTGTATAGATATGCTAACATATGTGTGGATTTAGAACAAGAAGAGGGTTTTTGTGATTTCACTCACTAGACATGCAAATTGACTAAAACTAGTTATCTATATATGTGTGCTCAGGTGTGCTCACATCACATAACAGCTGCAATGCAAACCAACTCATGGAGGCATGAAATTTCTCATGTATGACAGTAGAAGATGAATGATGCCAAGTTTATGATATGCAAGACAAGCGACAATTTGTAGTTGAATGATTAGAAAGCTAAGTGAAAGAAGCATGTTTCTTACCAGTTTTCTTGGTAAACTTATAGCCTTTGCACTGACGTAGGTACGTGGGGTGGGCACCAAGTGGTTCCTCAGGCATTCCATGTGTCTCCTGAGCCAACAAAAATGTACAAAAAAATTTGTATCAATACGAAATTAATACTCTATTTTTCCCATTGAAACAACAAACCTTAATTAGTTATCACACAACCATCAACATTGCTTACAATTCCCAAGTCATTGAAAATTCTGACATAGCATATTGCTTCTGTTACAAGCTTTATGCCTTCATCCCCTCTTCATCAAAGTAAATACCCAGAAATCTAAATGGGGACGTCACTGACTCACTACTAATAACCATATAAAAGAATACTATTATAGGCATAAAATATGCAACAACAACAACAACAACAACAAAGCCTTTTCCCACTAAGTGGGGTCAGTTATATGAATCCTAGAACGCCATTGCGCTCGGTTTTGTGTCATGTCCTCCGTTAGATCCAAGTACTCTAAGTCTTTTTTTAGAGTCTCTTCCAAAGTTTTCCTAGGTCTTCCTCTACCCCTTTGGCCCTGAACCTCTGTCCCGTAGTCACATCTTCGAACCGGAGCGTCAGTAGGCCTTCTTTGCACATGTCCAAATCACCGGAACCGATTTTCTCTCATCTTTCCTTCAATTTCGGCTACTCCTACTTTACCTCGGATATCCTCATTCTTAATCTTATCATTTCTCCTGTGCCCACACATCCCACGAAGCATCCTCATCTTCGCCACACCCATTTTGTGTATGTGTTGATGCTTCACCGCCCAACATTCTGTGCCATACAACATCGCTGGCCTTATTGCCGTCCTATAAAATTTTCCCTTGAGCTTCAGTGGCCTACGACGGTCACACAACCTGCCGGATGCACTCTTACACTTCATCCATCCAACTTGTATTCTATGGTTGAGATCTCCCTCTAATTCTCCGTTCTCTTGCACGATAGATCCTAGGTAGCGAAAACGGTCGCTTTTTGTGATTTCGCTAGATTGCTCTGATCATTAGTGTGGATAAGTATATAAATGGATAGAGATAGGAAAGCAAACACAAGATGTACGTGGTTCACCCAAATTGGCTACGTCCACGGAAATAGAGGAGTTCTCATTAATTGTGAAGGGTTTACACAAGTACATAGGTTCAAGCTCTTCCTTAGTGAGTAAAGGTGAATGATTTAGTACAAATGACATTAGGAAATATTGTGGGAGAATGATCTCGTAATCACGAAACTTCTAAGTATCGGAGTGTGGTACCGTCTTGACTTGCCTTATCTGTCTCATAGGTAGATGTGGCATCTTCTCTGGAAGTACTCTTCCTCCATCCAGGGGTGGTATCTTTAACTGGTGCAGATGCACAAGGTAATGTATCAATTTCACTTGAAGCTTACTTGTAGTTTCAGGCTTAGTCAAGCGCGATACAAACCATGTAGTAGGAGTCCCCCAAGTCGCCGAGCTAGGGGATCTGCTGAAAGAGGTGACAGACAAGGTAAGCAATCAGAGCTCCGGCTGATTGTTCACATTCTCCCTATCTTGCAGGCAGCATGAAGGATAAAGAGAAGAAAAATGAGAAGAGATGATATGGGATACTTTTGCTTTTGAAGAAGTAACTTTCCACAGGCTTATTCTTGAACTGAGCAGGAAGATTTTCTGGTTTCCTCCAGAGTATAAGGCCGACTGAAGAATTTGAGGGTCAAAACAAGTTCATCAAATCTAGAGTACGTTCGACCCTGCTGATATGGGATACTTTTGCTTTGACAGAGTAATGGATGTATCGGTACGTGTGCTGTTACGCTTGTCTCCACATGCATCTTGTATCCTTCTCACTTGCCCTATCTGTTCTTCAGGCAGATACGGTATCTTCCCTAGAAGCATAAGATGTTGAAGATGAGTACTCGAGAGCAATGCCAGGTAACTAAGTTCCAGGCAGTCAGTTCCTGGCTGGAAGCTTGATTCCAAGTGCTGACTGATTGCTCTCTTTCTCCTTGTCTTGCAGGTAAGAACAAGGCCAAAGGAAAAGACAGGGAAAAAGCATGATATGGGATACTTTTGCTTTTAACCCTGATGATATGAGATATTCTTGCTCTAGTATAGCTTGTTTGCAGAGGTATTATCGGGGGGAAAGAAAGCTGAATATTTCGAAAGGCTTCGTTGAGAGTGCCCTCTCAGATATGAGGAAGGGTTGAGCATTTTTGCAGGTCTGTCTGTCCGTTGGGGATGGAGGTCGACATATATAGGAGTCTCCTTAACAACAAGTAGTAATGCTATTCTTTTACCCTGCTTGGTCATAGCACGGTAGTGGGAGCTACCAGCTTCACATGTTTTAACTCTGTCAGAGCACTTTGAAAAAGTGGTCTGTGGTATCTGGAAAGCTGATGTTGCGTGTGAAGATTACAGACAGCTTTATCCAAGGAGATCCGGCTCTTGCAGTTAGGAAAGTGTTGCCTCTTCGGTTTTCGAACAAGCAATCCTATCGAGAATCTGGCTCTCGAGATTCGGAGAACGATGCCTCTTCGATTTTTGAGAAAGCAATCATGCTGGAGGTCTGGCTCTCGAGATTCGGAGAGCGGTGTCTCTTCGATTTTTGAGAAAGTAATCATGTTGGGAGTCTGGCTCTTGAGATTCGGAGGGCGGTGCCTCTTCGATTTTGGAGCAAGCAATCTTGTTGGGAGTGTTTTCTCGAATGTGAGTAAAGGTTGGGCATGTTTGCTAGTCTACCTTGCCACGAAGCACAGAGATTGACACACAGGTACTTTCGAATTATCCAGCAATGGTACTGTTCCTTTACCCTCTCTTCGATTTTTGAGAAAGTAGTCATGTTGGGAGTTTGGCTCTCGAGATTCGGAGGACGGTGCCTCTTCGATTTTGGAGCAAGCAATCTTGTTGGGAGTGTTTTCTCGAATGTGAGTAAAGGTTGGGCATGTTTGCTAGTCTACCTTGCCACGAAGCACAAAGGTTGACACACAGGGACTTTCCAATTATCCAGCAGTGGTACTGTTCCTTTACCCTTGTGGGTAATAATATGGTAGCTAGACCTTCAAAATTTATGTGTCTAAACTTTGTTAGTGTTGTTTCTTTGCTATTCTTTTACCCTTCTTGGTCAGAGCGATGTAGTAGGAGCTGCAAGCTTCACGTGCTCAACTTTGGCAGAGAACTTTGGCAAAGTTATCTGTGGTACCCATGAGCTACTGTTGCGTGTGGGAAGTGGGTGATTGAATAGTAAGACTCATGTGCTTTCTACTTCACCAGAAGTCTTCGACAGAATGCCCATAATCTCCGCAAAGCTGAGTGTGCGTGTGACAGGTGCTGACAAGGCTGGAAAAGTAGGTGCCTCTTCGATTTCTGAGATCGGCCCTCGTGGTCTCTGAGCAGCCCAGCTTTTGAGAAAGCAAGCGCCTCTTCGATTTCTGAGATCGGCCTTCGTGGTCTTTGAGCAGCCCAGCTTTTGAGAAAGCAAACACTATAAAAATGCTATTAAAGGCATAAAATACTATTTGATAGTATTTTTAAGAAAAAAAAAAGCTACAAATGAATGCTATTACCTATTAAAGAGGGTTCGTGGTGTAGTGATAAACACACGGTGGCTCAATTCGAACTCCCTAACGATGTCCCCGCCACCAATTCATTGGTGCCACGATGAGGGAAGTCATACCACCTACTCCTAAACTGTAGAAAACTATCCAGAAATTCATGCAACGATTTATCACTAGCCACTGACAAGAATGGGGCGGCAGCAACACAAAAACAGTGAAAATTTATCAAGAAATTGATTATTCAGTGTGAAGTTTCTAGGTTTTGCAAGTCAAGATGTAAATGACATAGCAGTAATTTTACCTTGTCGCCGAAACCTTAGGTTTAACTTCAGCATGCCAGAAAGCTCTCGGTTAAGAAGATCCACCACTCTCCGCAACTCCAGGGCGTTCAATCCGCCTTCGTCGACGCCGAGCCCAATCACCATCGCCTCATCCTGGGGCAAGTAATTTACAAAATTGCCACCCTGAGCTCTACAGCGGGATAAGTTTCAGCATTGGATTGTGGCTTGGAGATTCGCGTGGCGGCCCGTCGTTAGAACAAAAGGGAAAGAGACAACCGACAGAGTAACGGTGGTGGTTGGATTCGAGATTGTGAAGAGGAAAGAGAGAGGTAGAGGATGAGCGAGAGGGAAGATTTGGGGTTCACGGGAAAGAGAGAGGGAGAGATGAGCGAGAGGGAAGAGAAAGAGGGGTTCAAGATTTGGGGTCCAAACTACAAAAATTGAAAAAACAGCGCCTATTTTTCACTATTGCAGTGCCAAAATTATCACAACTAGCGCGACGCAAGGATACAATTTGACGTCACGCAAAGTGGTTTTGCATGACGATCCTATTAAGGCGTCGCGCAAGTTAGTTTTTTTTTTTTTTAAATTATTATAAAAATTATTGAAAATGTGACTTTTCTCCTTTTAAATTCAAAATGTTTTTTACATAAACCCCACAATAATATATTTTTCTAACAAAAACCCACAATAATTTTGTTTACATATATATCATTCAATTTCTTAAGTGTTATAAGTACAAAATAAATTAATTAAAATATACTTAGTAAACATATATATCATTCAATTTCTTAAGTGTTATACGCATTGTATAAAACTAGTTTTAAAGATCCAACCATCAAACTTGTTTGTATATGCTTCGAAATCGCATATGCCAAAAATTGCAAAAAGTCGGAGATCAAGTAACGAGACAAAACTTCTCAACAGATATAAACGAAAAATCACGATTTAACGGTTATTTTAATTCCAATTTTGATGATTTTTTACAGCTACACTCCTTGATCCTATATGAATACATTAAAGTAATTCTATCGTCAATTTAAAATATTTACACAAGTGGATACCAGAAAATCTTATGTTATAGTTGATGAAAGTATTAATAAACATGCAGAGATCAAGTAACAGAATAAAACGTTTCGACGATTATAAACGACAAAGCACAATTTAACAGTTATTTTAACTCTGATTTTGATGATTTTTTACAGTTACACTCCTTGATCCTATATGAATACAATAACCTCATTCGATCGTCTTGTGTAAATATTTTAAATTGGCGATCGAATTAGTTCATTGTATTCATATAGGATTAAGAAGTGTAGCTGTAAAAAATCATTAAAATCGGAGTTAAAACTATTGCTAAATCATGATTTTCGTTTATAACCATCGGAAAGTATTGTCTCGTTACTTGATCTTTGAATGTTTGTTTTTGCAATTTTTGGCATATGCGATCTCGAAGTATATACAAACAAGTTTGACGGTTGGATCATTCAAACTATTTTCGCACAATGCGTATCCCATCAATTTCAATGATATGTGTATATATATTACGTAGATTTAAATTTATTTATTTTGTACGTATAACATTTAAGAAATTGAAAAATATGTATATTTATTAAGTAGCTTTATATTTATTGTAATTGTTATAAAAAATATATTATTGTGGGTTTTATATAATTTGAAAGGAGTAAAATCACATTTTCAGTACATTTTATAATAATTTTTTTTTAAAATATCTTGCGCGACGCCACTGTATAGTCGTCTCGCAAAAACCCTTTGCGCGACGTGGAAAGGTAAACCTGCGTCGCGCTATGTGTGATAATTTTGGCGGTACCCTTGTTAAAAATAGGCGCTTTGTTTAAATTTTCGCTATCTGTGATAAACCCGAACTCTCTCTTCTCACTCGGTCTCCCGAACTCTCTCTTCTCATTGAACTCTCTCTTCTCACTCGGTCTCCCTCATCCTCTCACGCAGGTGAATCACCCTCTCTCTCCCTCTCGCTCATATCGTCCTCTCTCTCTCCTTCTCGCTCACTCGGTATCTCTCTTCCCTCTCACTCATATCGACTTCCTCCTCATCCTTCATCCTCATCCTCTCCCGACTGCATAGCAGGTATAGACCCAGGTCAGAATCAAGCTTAATTCTTTAATTTTCTTCTTTCTAAGTTCAGAATCAAGCTTTAATGCCTTAATTTGAAGATTTTGGTATTGTAATTAGATTCAATTTGGGAGATTAAATTAGAAATTGGGGGTTTTAGTGTTAAATCGAATTTTAGGGTGGTGGGTTGGTCTGCTATGGTGTTAGTTTTCTAGTTTTTTTCTCTGCTTCTTCACAAATTTCGTATTCTTACAAGTTCATATTTTTGCACCAAATGGCAAAAATATAGGTTGAAACTGCGGGCGAAGAAATTGGTTCCTCAGTTCAATCGATAAAAATAAAAGACGCATAAAGGAAAAGAATGCAGGAGTGATTAAAGAACTTAGCAACTAATGTGACTGCTTATGGACTCAAGTTCCAGTTAACACGATGATACGAAATACAATGTCCTACTGTCACAAAAGAAAAAAATGTATGTAGACAATTAGACATCTATGTTTGTTAGCTTTCCTAGTACTAAAAATCTGCTATGTTTCCATCATTTTGATTGCTATTCGCCTTTGGGATTTAACCTAGTTGCAACACATGTATATGTAAAGGCACTTTCAGTGGAGGAATTTGCAGTTCGACTTGCAAAGCACTTCACATCGCTTTACCAGCAGGTAAATACTATGTAATTTAAGCGTTTTTTTTAAATTAAATTTCATTAGTTAATCCCATATTGTAGACGAAAAGGGAAAATGGACGATACTTTTACTATTGTCGCTGCTGAAACGATGGATGTTGTTGTTATTCTTGGTCGGCTTCTTGGTCTTTGTTTTCTCATATAACTGCTCTTCCTTTGGTTAGAGGTGCATCTTCTTCTAATGGTTTACGGTGTATATGTTATTATCACTAATTGGTGGTACTCACTAAATCAGTTATGAATTTCTGGTCACTTTAACTAATCAAGTTTTCATCTGGACAGCTTAATGTTTTTACCCTTTCCCTGAAAGCATGACTCATGGAAATTCATTAATATTTCATTTGTAGAAGTTGGTTTCTTTTAAGTTTGATTGGTTGTCTTAAGTTTGGACTTTTTTTTGCTCTGTGTCTCTCTATCTCAAGCTTGAACACGAACACCCGCCCTCTTTCCCATACACACACAGTTTCACACTTTGAATACTACCTTGTTGGAACTGCAGCAACTTCTTCTGGCCATGTTTTATGCTTTTAGTATTTGCATAATCTAGAAAGAGAGTTGTCGTTTTGAAATATAAAAACGAATTAAAAAAAGGAGAAAGCTTTCTTCCCTGCAACTTTAGTGTTAGAGTTATTGATCTAATAAGTTGTCAGATGTTCCTAATTGTTGTGAACGTAAGGCTTCATTTAGAAATAGAAATGAATGATTTGTGTAATTTAACTAAATGGTGACTCGAAAGAATCATTATTGAAAACATGATTGAGTTCAGAATATATATGCAATGGGGTTTATTGTTCTATGATTAGGGAATCACAGTCATCTCATTACTAGGAACGTAATGCTAGCACGGATGCAGGTGGACTATTTTAGCCAATAAGCTATACTTTGTTGTGAAGAACTTCAATTATAGGTATGATATTGTTATTCATGTTCACCGTTGTTTGATGTATGTAATCAAACTAGCTATGAATGTCTAGTTCTTAGGTCAACATATAAACCATATCATATAGCAGTCATGAGTTCTTGAGATTGCTGCTGATTCTCTATCCAGAAAATCACATATAATCTGTTTGAAACGTTCACCTATCAACGATGTGCTTCAGCATTTTATTTGTTTTCCATCCAAATGCCCAATAGTGGCTATCTATCAGAGCTACTATTTCCTTTAGGAATCGGCATCCCAACAATGAGAACAGTGACAAGCTTTATGTAAGTATATGTAATTGTTATTTTTCTTATTTTTATAAATCGTTCAAATATTATTTATATTTTGTTATTAAACATTATATATTTTTTCTTTATTATTACAGGGTGATATGGTGGAAAAGAGCACTGCTATTCTCCAAGAAGCAACATCTCAGCTTCCCCAAGAGACCTCGATCGAGGACGTCATTGTACCCAAGGATGCAGATGTTCAGATCGTGACTGAGGTCCTGGATCAGAAGTTCGGCCGTCGTCATGGTAAGGCGGGGGTTCGTGAAACGAGTGCCTCTTCTTCCAGATTGTCCACAGGAGAGGTCAATTCCTTGAAGGAGGAAGTGACAACCCTAAGAGGTCAGCTTGTGGCCTAGGGCGACCACATTAGGGCCCATGACGAGAGGATGAATATGATTGTTCAGGCCTTAGCGATGTCCGGCCTCCAAATCCCGACGATGCCAGCACCTAATGTTGCTCCACCTTCGACTTCCCAGCCACTTCGCCCAGACGATACCGAGTAGCATGATGTATATATTAAACTTAGAAGACTTGTAGTTTTTTATTTTTTTGTTCGGACAAACGTACATTTTCATATATTCTATAATTAATTACTTTTTCTTGGTTTATTAATTATTGTTTAGAATTTAATTATAATATTTATTAAAAATTAAATAAAAAAATATAAATGACAAAAAAAAAAAAAAAAAAAAATTTCGCGACGTAGGTCCTGCGTCGCGCCAAGTAGTTTTGCGTGACGTAGGTAGGCACTGCGTCGCGCAAACCCTTCCTTCACTGCCTTCGCGCGACGGTTCTTGCGCGACGAAGGTTCGTTTGGCTAATTTTTGGGCGACGGATTTTTGACTTTGCGCGACGACAGTCCTACGTCGCACAAAGTCTTTTTTGTACGAGTGACCCCACTACTTAACGTTCCATCTAATTAGAACAAAAATAACAAGAAAAATAAGGGTTATACAATAGATAACTTGATCACATTAATTTAGTTAAAAGTACATAAAGAGAATAATTTTCTCGTAGGACAAATAATTCTTATGCACAATATATATTGACATTGGTCCCAACCAAATATGAGGATGTGGAGCAACTTACTTGGTAATAATCTGGACCATGAAATAGAGAATCGGTAAGCATCCAACTCTATATCCTTCATATTCCCCACATCTTCCTAGAATGACAAAAGGATATATATCATAATAAGAAAAAAGTTTAAAATTAAATATTGAGTATCTCATTATATTGTGCTTTTTGTAAAGGCTCCAATTTAATATCTTAACATGTGCCCTTCAAGTATAAACGGTCAAGAGAATAAAGTTATGAGATTCTAGACCTTATAGCGGTGATATTGATCAATAGCAACGTCTCCGTTACTGCCATCAGCGATTTTTTCTGCACTTATTCAAAAACATAATGGTGAAATCCATATCATATGCAAAGTACTTTATGTGCGTGCGTATTGATGAAGTATATACATATATTGTACATATCACATGACCACGTACTATTTGTCTCCCAACAAAGTGCATGGTTATCAGAGGGGTTGGAGTTTTTTAGGTATACTTGTCCTCATGAAGAAAAGAATGAGGTGCTAATTATACTCCTTTGAAATGAAGTAGCTAAAGTTTTCATATTACCAATTGATTAAATCACAGACCTGGATGTTTGTAGGTGTAGGTATCCCATATGCTTGGTCCTCTTCCATCTTCTTTTACTGCACCTTCATACTGAAATATACATACATGCATATTCGTAAGTGTACTACCACACATGCAAGGAAGATGTGAACATTATAATTCATGTATGGATGCTAACTGCATGTATAAAATATACCAATAAAATGGTAAATAATTGCAGAAGATATATATATATATATATATATATAATACATATATATATTGATCTGATAAGATGCAGAACCTGTGCCAAATATAAACCCTGGTTCAAAACTGTTGCGATTGAGAAATTCGCAATGAACAGGTGTATCCGTATTAGCAGCTTTGTTATTTGTCAATGCAAAGCCAATGAGTAGCAGCACACCAAAGAGCAAAGCCAATGAGTAGCAGCACACCAAAGAGCAAAGATCTTGAATATTTCATTGCCATAACTTGGGAATTTTGATATCGATCGAGATAATTAAGTTGTCTCTTCCTGGAATATTGCATGGGGTTTATTTAGGGGAAGGGAGGAAGGGATATGGTGTCTACGTACTTGCTCATGAGAATAGTAAAGGGTTAAAATTCGTAAACAAATTGAATTTTGAAGTCCTAGTTTAAAGACCAGGTCATGGTCTGTAGTTTAAAAGAAGGAAAAATTAGTATATGATCCCTAGTTCTTACTGTTCATTGACTAAGACCTTATTAGTTCTCAAATTTTGATTCAAGTCCCTAGCATTAATGTGATAATGAATTTACATGTTTATTATATAATTTTTTAATATAAAAATTAGTAATTAATTTAGGGTTTAATACTCACACCTCTATTAAACTTCTAATTAATTTTCAATTCAAACATTTCCAAAATAATAAAAAATTAAATTAAATTAAGTTTGTACCTATTAGTTTTTTATAGGAGTAATTAGGTTTTCATCCTTATTTTTACTACTCTATTGATTAAAACCTTATTACTTTTCAATTTTTGATCAAGGTCCTTTGTATTAATAATATCATTAATTATTTCAATAATAAAATATTTTTTATTTCTAAATATATTCATTTAATATTTAAAATGTTACAATTAGTATATTTATATTTATGGCTAAATTTTTTATCATATATTTTTATTTTTAGTTTGTACCCATTTTTAATTTGCAACCCTTTTTTAATTTGTACCAATTTTCCTTTCAATTTTAATTTGTACCCATATATTAATTTCTTTTTGTGCCCATATTTTTTACAGTTTTATTTGTATTGTACCCATATTTATTTATTTATTTGTACCCATTTTTATTTTTGCTAAATGTACCCATTTTGAAGAATGTACCCATGTTTTGATACAATCATTTTTTGGTTATTTTTTATGAATGTACCCATGTTTACACACACACACAATAGTATATTTATATTTTAATATTTTTAATCCCACAAATTATGTTTTTTATTTAAAATCTCATTACTATAAACAACTATAAATTTTAATTTTTAATTTAAAAAATATAGTAACGTACATAGAAATAAATTATTAATTAATTTTAGGGACTTGGATCAAAAATTGAAAACCAACAAAGTTTCAGTCAAAGATTGTTCATAACTAGGGACCGCATCCAAAGTCTCCCTTTTTTATATATATAAAAAGATTCTCAATTTTTTAATCTTAAATGTATCCATTCATATAATTTTTCAATTTTTTTAATCTTAAATGTACCCATTCTCAAATATATCAATTTGTTATATGTAAAATGTACCCTTTTTAATATAAAATCCATTCAAATTTTTTAATCCATGTTTAAACTTATATGGGTACATTCTTTTTCGTTGATTTGAGAATGTATCCATGTTTTGGTACAATAACTTTTTTTGTTAATTTTGTTAATGTACCCATACATATATGTATACACACACACACACAATATAATAGAGAGTATAATTTATATTTTATTATTTTTAATCCCATAAATTATGGGTTTTATTTAAAATCTCATTAATATAAACAATTACAAATTTCAATTTTTAGTTTTTAATTTAAAATATATAGTAACTTACATTATTACATTAATGTCATGGACCTCAATCAAAAACTAAAAACTAACAAGGTTTCAATCAAAGAATATTGATAGCTAGGGACCGCATCCAAAGTGTCCCTTAAAAGAAAGCACGTTTCATGGGAAAGGGATCCTCTCTGGTTCCCTTCCACCAAATCCACCAATCAGGACCCTTGAAATTTGATCAAACGGCTAAAGTTATTATAACTTTTAAAGGGGATCCTGTTTTTAGCCGTTTGATCAAATTTCAAGAGTCCGGATTGGTGGAATTGGTGGAAGGGATCCGGAGAGAATCCCTTTCCCGTTTCATGTACCCAAAAGTTGCGTATGTATGTAAAAGAATGGATAATCCTTGCATTCCACCAACGAGGAATGCAAATGTTCTACAAATTTTACATTGGGATCGTTCAGTTTCTTAATATTTATTTGAAGATCATCTAAACAAAATGAATTATTCGAATTTGAGATCGTTTAGTCATCTAAATATATGAATCATATCGACGGTGTAAACATCAAGTAAAAGATTTATAATGAACTATTCATTCTATTAATACATTTAGATGACTAAACAGTCTTCAATTTGAACACTGTTTTGTCTATATGATATCCAAATTGAGATTAAGAATAGGTAGGACTTGTGATTATGTGAAAAGTAAGATAATGTACACATCTCTTCGATCGCTCTCATCTTAATTTGAAATGATCAAATACCCTTGAGTTTTCCAACAAGAGAAAAATATTATCTGCGTTCGGAAACAAAGAGTCATTTATCTGCATTTTTATATTATGTCTGCGAACTGTTGAAGCCATAACTTCTGAAGGTCAATATGGACGATCAGCGATGAGATTTTTCGTATGGGCCAGGCTCCAGCTATAGAGACTTGTTCAAACAGTAGCAAAATTAATTGACCCAATAAAAAAGTAGAAATTTATGACCCGAATTCTTTACGTAAGTACATAACCGATAAGGTTGAACAATTTATTCTTTAAATTAAATCCTGATCTTTTTCTTCTTGTTAGAGTTTTAATATTGAATGCGTCCTGCTATCAAGGGCGAACCTATTATGGCGCAAAGAGGACGGCTGCCCCCCTTCCAGCCGGAAAAGAAGCCCAGGAGTCTGATTTTCTGTGCTGCCACACCTCTGGTTCTATCGGAAATGAGGTCTGGTTTGCTGAAGGAGGAGGAGCCTCCTTGTCCCAACGAAGAAGATGATGCAGAGAGACTCATTTTCTCTTTCCCTCGTGGCAAAGTAGCATTTTTATCTTCTTTAGTTGTCATCCTATGAGCTTCCGCCACCTTCAATACTATTCACTAAAGGCCTTATAAATTGGGAGGTGATATATATATATATATATATATATATATATATATATATATGCTGACAACAAAATAGGGAGGTGTGGCGCCAGATATATTACATCAGTTACCACTTCCAGTCTACATCTATCAGCCTGTGCTTTTTAGCTCTGGTCTGGAATTGTGATGTTTTTTTTTTTTTAAATATAGCTTACTAAAAATTTAAAATGTTAAATGTGTTTGACAAAATAAAAAAGAAATATTTTTTATAAAAAATTTGTTGGCTTGGCAATGATTGTAAAAAAGTATAGAAAGGAAAAGTCTACCATGTTTCTAAAAGCAATGTCTTTTTTTTCAAAATATAGTATTCGGTGTCTATTTAATAAAGTTTTCAAATAACAAGTGCATCCCCATATATTTTAAAAAATTACAATCATTGTCCTTACATAATTCTCTTTGACAATTATTGTCTCACATTAAATATCATATCATGTTGAGTCATTTAACATATTCACAACAATTTATATAAAAGTTTACCAAACATTCAGATATTATTTTTATTTATTAAAAGCACTTTTATCAAAAAGGTAAAGCATGCTCAACACTTTATTTTACAGTTATTTATTCTCAAAACACAGTAGAAGCATTTTTTTTTTTAAAGCACAACAATAGCAAATTAGCCCTTATTCACATGTTTAAGACCATTAATTCTTTTAAAATTTATAATAATTTTCATAAGACTTCTCAAAAATATTTCATAAAGCACTCAGACTAGTAATCACTTGAATTTTCATCTCATACCATCAAATTACTAAGACACTAATTAAAGCAAAAATTCTAATACTTTTATATGTTGTATGTTAAATAAACCCAAACTTCTAATTTAAGTACAATTTTTTCATTGTAATTAGACACTTATTTATATAATATATAATAATTTACTTAAATCTGTCTAGTCCGCCTATGCCTCACCTAGGCGCTAGTGCCCAATCAGGTGTCCAACTAGCACCTAACTTTGTTGCTGTTGTGCTCAACGTTTCTTTTTTATTCCATGGAAAACCAAAAAAAAACGTCATTTAGGTGTTTAATTAAAAATAAATAAATTATACCTCTTTAGTCTTCACCCGTTTCCCTCTTTTAAACTCCACAAATTAGAGCACACCATGTGGTATGACTGTGACATGCAGGACGTTACTTTCAATTCATACGTTTCGAAGAGGTAATACGAATTTATAGTCCTATGCCTTTCTAGAAATTAGTAGCAGGAAAACTATATTGCTAGCATAATCACTCTAGATTTCGGTTATTGTATGCGTTGTTATTCAATTTTGGTTTTGATAAATTGGAATTGGTGTAATAGGAATCATTATGTGATGATGCACTTGATTATACTATTGTGGATGCAAATTTCCGCTGTATGTTAATTTGAAAAAAATGCACCTGCAAAAATTATAACACCTTCGATTAAGACCAAAAGTCTCACGCGTCCACGATGAACGGCAAGGCTTTTGCCGAAGAATCTCTGATACCAAAGTTATTATTCTTAAAACCCTTCACAGCTTCGCATAACCAACAGAGATCTCTTTCACAGAAGTTTTATCAAGTTTTATCTCAGTTGTCCAGGAACATGATTGTAACAAATGCAGCCAAACACTCTCAGATCTTTTATTCTTGGCTTTCTACCACTAAATGTATCAAATGAATTCTTGTCCTGCAAATCTTTAGTTGACATCTATTTAGAAGATATACTGCAGTGTTAGAAGCTTTCCCGAAAAATCATAAGGTAGATTCTTATCAAGTAACATGCCTTTAGCCATTTAAATAATGGTCATGTTCTTCCTCTCAGCAACACCATTTTGTTTAGGGGAATAAGCCACTATTAGTTGCCTTTCAAGGCCTAGATCATCACAGAAGCTTTGAAACTCTAGAGAAGTATATTCTCCTCCTCAGTCACGTCTCGATTTTTGAATTTGATAACCATTTTCAAGCTGAACCATAGCTTTAAAGCTTTTAAATACACATAATACGTCTGACTTAGGCTTCAAGAAATATAGTCAGCACATTCTGGTATGGTCATCAATAAATATTAGAAAGTGTCTATTTCCACCAAGTGTAGCGACCTGCATAGAACTACATACATCATAGTGTATCAACTCCAGTGGCTTATTTGC